TTCTATACCATATGCCGCCTCCAACGTCGTTTTAGAGAATTTGACAGTACGTCCAACCGCAGACCACGTGTAACCATGCCAGCCCAGGACCTCCACATCTGGCTTCTTCACCTATGGGATCATCTGAGACCAGCCACCCAGACAGCTGATGAAACTGAGGAGCATTTATGTCCGTAATAAAGCCCTTTTGTGGGGAAAAACTAATTCTGATTGGCTGGGCCTGGCTCCTCAGTGGGTGGGCCTGGCTCCCCAGTGGGTGGGCCTATGCCCTCCCAGGACCACCAATGGCTGCGCCCCTGCCCAGTCATGTGAAATCCATAGATTAGGTCCTAATTTATTTATTTCAATTGACTGATTTCCTTATATATGAACTGTAACTCAGTAAAATCGTTGAAATTGTTGCATGTTGCTTTTATATTTTTGGTCAGTAGTTTGATTAGGCATTTAAACATGGATGTTATTACCACATGCATTGTTTAAATACACTGTCACTTTAAGACAGCGACCACTTACCGCTTTATCAAACTCCATCTCTGAAAAGAATCTATACCAAGGCTCATTCTCTAAATCTACATCTTCTGGACTAATGTGCTGAGTCTACAGCGGCATGGCAACAAGGAAAGGAGGAGAAAGACAAAGAGAAGACAGTTCAGACAGCACAGAATTTACAGACACAGGCAATGAGGCTATGACACATTCTTGATATGATCCAGACAACATTCCCACATTCCCGACATGCTGAATTTCTAAACAAAACATTTCCTAATACAAAGGAATTCCTGAAGATTTGTCTTTATGACAGGTGAGTTATCCAAGGCGAAAAAACAAATGGACATTCCCGGAAATTTGGATCTCAGACAGATGTCGGATTCGTTCTCAAATGTATAAAGACGTAGAACACATATTACATGTGACATCAACAAATAACATAAAGCAGTCATCTGAATCGTACTCAACTGCAGTGTGCACTCTGTGCACATGTATAAGAGAAGATAAGCAAGTGTGCTTTCATAGGTCCCATCTGCTTCTTATGCTTGTATTCATACTTGTGAAATCTTATTCTTCTACTTATTTGAATGTGAATATATTTCCTAACATGTTTATGTATAGTATATTTCAATCAATAAGCCACAATGGCAATAAGGAAGACCATAATTCACAGAACAACAGATATAATAGGCTAGATTAAAATAAGAGACTAATGCTGCCGGGAACCTGACACAGAACCACAGACTGTGTCCTGTAATTAAATACATTGTCACATCACATACTGTATCTGTCTGACAATGGTGGACAGCAGTAACAAGGCCTTGATCTCTACTGTTCAGTATGTGGTGCCACTGGGATGGGTCCTAACCCATAATAGCTCACCCTAATTGAGCTCCAGACAAACAATGATTACATTATGATATAATCAAATAACTATTATACAGTAGAGAAGCATCTCTATTCTCTTCTGTATGAGCCACACAAAGAGGCTGTCAGCTAAACCAACTGTCAGCTAAAACCCATATGCAGCATTTGTTTAAAGGCCCACTCGTTAATGGATCTCATGAGGCATTAATAAGTGATACTGTTTAAGAATCAATGGGTGTATGTCATCGAAAAAATTGACTGTAAATATCACAGTGGGCCTTTAAATCCCCGCAGATTCAACCTTTCAGTTGAACCCGGGTGGCATACACTATATTGGGACATTGATCTATCGGTATTCATAGCATTTTTTGTCCATAAACTGTGTCCTGTGTCAGACTATTTTCCAAGCAGATTCAAGCCAATTTTTGCTGTTGAAACACTGCAAGACAATGGCCATGGCTTGTAAGTGATACCTCCACACCGCCAACTAGGTCATCTGTCATTGTAATAGTATCCTCCTTTAGGAATATTGTACACATGGCAATTCAGTCTACTAGAGCTGCCCTAGTTAGTGAAGCATCCACCTAAGCTCTAAGAGGGAAACAGCTTACACAACATGCGTATAATAGAGACTGCAGAGGCAAACACAGAAACACACGCATGGCACTGGAAGCATGGCTGTCGTACCTTTCTCTCCAGTTTCAGCACCGACGATTTTCCCGGCTCGTACTCGAAGATGCTCTTGGGCTCGGCACGGTACTTCCTGGTGTCCACCTTTTTGTCAGGGGGCTCCCAGTCGTTCCTGCAGGGGGGAGGGTAGGAGAGCGAGCAGATCCCTATTAAGTCTAGCAGTCTCCATGGCAACTGGCTGGGGCTAGTTTTTTGGGTTACAGCTCCATCATCAACAGCGTTTTCCCATACAGTAAAGCTTGTGCCCCTCCCACTCTCCATCTCTTTTACTCTCCCTGTCGCTCTTTCTCTCTCTCGCTCTCGCTCTCCATCAAAGCTGTTTTATGAGATGATTTAATAAAGAATAAAATGTACGGTCATGTCAAGGCATGAATCAAATCATGCTAGCTAACTAGATTGAACCAAAGACCCTAGCTGCATTTCATGAGAGAATAGACCGCTTTCTATCCCCCTGAGACCCAGCAATAAATGTTTGTCCTCTCTAGTGGACATCAGTTCTTGGTCCGTATCTCTGAGGCCATACAAGCCACTGTATTAAGTCCTGTTGTCCCTTTGAGAGGGACAACTTTCTCTTCCTGGTTCTTAAAAAGAAATGGCTGCCATCAAAATTAGCACAGTTGATGGACACGTTAAAATAAGTGTGTGTAATTATTAATGATAATTTTTTGATATTCAAATTGTTTCTACTAAGTGAATATCTCAGGAGCACAGTGGCCTCCATCATTCTTAAATAGAAGAAGTTTGGAACCATCAAGACTCTTCCTAGAGTTGGCCGCCCGGCCAAACTGAGCAATCGGGGGAGAAGGGCCTTGGTCAGGGAGGTGACCAAGAACCCGATGGTCACTCTGACAGAGCTCCAGAGTTCCTCTGTGGAGATGGAAGAACCTTCCAGAAGGATAACCATCTCTGCAGCACTCCACCAATCAGGCCTTTATGGTAGAGTGGGCAGACGAAGCAACTCCTAAGTAAAAGGCACATGACAGCCCGCTTGGAGTTTGCCAAAAGGCACCTAAAGGACTCAGACCATGAGAAACAAGAGTCTCTGGTCTGATGAAACCACGATTAAACTCTTTGGCCTGAATGCCAAGCATCACATCTGGAGGAAACCTGGCACCATTCCTACGGTGAAGCATGGTGGTGGCAGCATCATGCGGTGGGGATGTTTTTAGCAGCAGGGACTGGGAAACTAGTCAGGATCGAGGCAAAGATGAAAGGAGCTAAGTCAGAGAGATCCTTGATGAAAACCTGCTCCAGAGCGCTCAGGACCTCAGACTGAGGCGAAGGTTCACCTTTCAACAGGACAACGACCCTAAGCACACAGCCAAGACAATGCAGGAGTGGCTTCGGGACAAGTCTCTGAATGTCCTTGAGTGGCCCAGCTAGAGCACGGACTTGAACCCGATCGAACATCTCTGGAGAGACCTGAAAATAGCTGTGCAGGGACGCTCCCCATCCAACCTGACAGAGCTTGAGAGGATCTGCAGAGAAGAATAGAGAGACCTGAAAATAGCTGTGCAGGGACGCTCCCCATCCAACCTGACAGAGCTTGAGAGGATCTGCAGAGAAGAATGGGAGAAACGCCCCAAATACAGGTGTGCCAAGCTTGTAGTGTCATATTCAATTAGACTCGAGGCTGTAATCGCTGCCAAAGGTGCATCACACAAAGTACTGAGTAAAGGGTCTGAATACTTATGTAAATGTGATATTTCCGGGGGGGTTTATACATTTGCAAAAATTTCTAAAACCAGTTTTTGCTTTGTCATTATGGGGTATTGTGTGTAGATTGATGAGGGGAAAAAACAATTTAATCCATGTTAAAATAAGGCTGTAACGTAACAAAATGTGGAAAAAGTCAAGGGGTCTGAATCCTTTTCGAATGCACTGTATACACCAAGGAAAGGGCTCGAGCCAACCAGGCACACCATCTGCAGCCTCCGTGAGCAACAGTTTATCCTCTATCACCTGTCTTCCTTCTTCACTCCATCACTCATTCCTCCACACGCCTTAATGCAGGGTTCCCTAATTTGACCCGCGGGTTATTTAATTTTGGCCCCACAAGTTTTCTGAGCAAAATATATATATATTTACATTTACATTTTAGTCATTTAGCAGATGCTCTTATCCAGAGCGACTTACAGTTAGTGAGTGCATACATTTTCATACTAGCCCCCCGTGGGAAACAATATATATATTTAAAACACCAGGAAATCAGCTCCAAGTGATTTTAATTTTGGACGCATAATAGAGACATATATGTGATCTTATACAAATGAAAACAAGTTTTGAAATGATTATGTTTTAGTCAAATATTATATCTGTTTGGCTTCTTGTGTTCAATTGCACTCTACAAATTATTTGTAATTATGTTCCGGCCACCTGACCATCCGCTGAAGAAAATAATCGGCCCGCGGCTGAATCTAGTTGATGATCCCTGCCTTAGAGAGTGGATTTTCTTTGTCAGCACTAACATTTAAGGGGAGGTGCGAGGAGGGTGTCTAATCACATCTAGTGTGACAACAAGGACAGGAGGTAGTAGAGGTTAGAGAGGACCTAACTGGGGACAAGGTAACCATGAGGTTCCCATGAGTCAATGTCAGAGGTGAGGAACAAAGTACTGTTCCTACTGCTTGGTACTCATCTACTGTAGATGCCCTTCTGATTCCTGGAAAAACATCAAATATAACCAGAAAAGTAGAATTCTTGAATCCATGACAAGTGTGTATTCAAGTGTGTAGGTTACATTTTCCGTGATTAAATATTCAGTATCACACCAAACATGTTGACTAAAATGAATATAATCGTATACCTCTTATTGTATCTCATTACAGTCCCACATCTAAAAGTGCAACCAAAAATGCAATTCATTTATAATGAGATTGGGTTAAGAGGTCTTCGAGGACACACTATACTCCTCTCCATATTAAAAAGAAACGGCAATAGAAAAGGACTTACCTTTTGGCAGGTTTGAGGGAAGAGGACCGTGTTGGCACAGGCATAGACGACCTACGGTCAACTTCAGCAGCACTTTTTGACCGTGGGACCCCTTTGACTGAAAATAAACACAAAAGAACAACAGACTCTGCTATGAAAGCGGCTTGTAATGTTTAGCTTAAACTGAAATACACTGAAATCTTTCTCAAGGTCTAAAGTGTCCGAGTAGGGGCTTGTCCTCACAAAGACCATGCTATTGAGATCACATTATAGATATTCTACTATATACAGTACAAAGTCAAAACGTTTGGACACACCTACTCATTCCAGGGTTTTCCTTTATTTTTACTATTTTCTACATTGTAGAATAATAGTGAAGACATCAAAACTATGAAATAACACATATGGAATCATGTATTAACCAAAAAAGTGTTAAACAAATCAAAATATATTTTATATTTGAGATTCTTCAAATAGCCACCCTTTGCCTTGATGACAGCTTTGCACACTCTTGGCATTCTCTCAACCAGCTTCATGAGGTAGTCACCTGGAATCACCTGACCTCAACCCAATTGAGATGGTTTGGGATGAGTTGGACCGCAGAGTGAAGGAAAAGCAGGCAACAAGTGCTCAGACTATGTGGGAACTCATTCAAGATTGTTGGAAAAGCATTCCAGGTGAAACTGGTTGAGAGAATGCCAAGAGTGTGCAAAGCTGTCATCAAGGCAAGGGGTGGCTATTTTGAAGAATCTCAAATACTTTTTTGGTTACTACATGATTCCATATGTGTTATTTCATAGTTTTGATGTCTCTACTATTATTCTACAATGTAGAAAATTGTGAAAATAAAGAAAAACCCTTGAATGAGTAGGTGTGTCCAAACTTTTGACTAGTAATGTATATATATATATATATATATATATATATATATATATATATATATATATATATATATATATATATACACATAATAGAATATCCTATCCAAACTGCCTCAACTCCCAGCCTTTCATCCAAAATTAGAGACATTCAATCTCAGTCTCTACCATCTCAATTTAAATTTGTTGTTGTTGTTTTTTGCTTTTTAATGCCCTTTGAAATTATTTTCAGAAATAAAAAGCGCTACACAAGTAAAATAAATAATTAATATTATTAATTTCTGAATCTAAGAGGATGACAAAACGCACCATCTTCCACATAACCGTAGGCGGAGTGACCATCATCTGTAAGAGAGAGAAAAATCATTATTATAAATACACTATAAACATGTACTTACTAGCCTGCTCCACTGGCAGTTCCACTTGTATAAGTCTATGTTATGCAATGTTAATCAAGGGTGGCCCCATCTATTGTCTGTTCATTCGCTTGTTATAGTGGTGCTACATATTTAGATACTCAGTATAACCAGTAGAGGTTTGATAGCAGCAGTGCCACACTATAATGACAGAATACTATGAACTGCTTATTATAGCAATGTAACAAGCAGTGAACTTGTAGAATGGCAAGGTCAAGAATGTGTTTACTACATTAATCAATTGTACAAGACTGACATCTTAACGTATCGTCAAAGATATCTAAAACAGAAGTGAGATTAAGAATAGCAATAAAATAAATAAAAATACGTAGACCTAAAAGGCATGTTATAGCATGCATCTACATTTTTACATTTTACGTCATTTAGTGGACGCTCTTATCCAGAGCGACTTACATGAGTGCATACAATTTTTTTTTTTCAATTTTTTTTTTCTTTCATAATGGCCCCCCGTGGGAAACGAACCCACAACCCTGGCGTTGCAAACGCCATGCTCTACCAACTGAGCTACATCCCCTGCCGGCCATTCCCTCCCCTACCCTGGACGACGCTGGGCCAATTGTGCGCCGCCCCATGGGTCTCCCGGTCGTGGCCGGCTACGACAGAGCCTGGATTCGAATCAGACATCTACAACAATAGCTTTCCAGGAGGGGCCATAGTTTTTAAAAACATCTAATCATGATGGCTGAAAATCAATATTCATCATTAATTCAAATACATTATGCTGACATATACAGTACCAGTCAAAGGTTTGGACACACCTACTCATTCCAGGGTTTTTCTTTATTTTTACTATTTTCTCAATTGTAGAATAAAAGTGAAGACATCAAAACTATGAAATAACACATATGGAATCAATCAAAATATATTTGAGATTGTTCAAAGTAGCCACCCTTTGCCTTGATGACAGCTTTGCACACTCTTGGCATTCTCTCAACCAGCTTCATGAGGTAGTCACCTGGAATGCATTTCAATTAACAGGTGTGCCTTCTCAAAAGTTAATTTGTGGAATTTCTTTCCTTCTTAATGCATTTGAGCCAATCAGTTGTGTTGTGACAAGGTAGGGGTGGTATACAGAAGATAGCCCTATTTGGTAAAAGACCAAGTCCATATTATGGCAAGAACAGCTCAAATAAGCAAAGAGAAACGACAGTTCTTCATTACTTTAAGACATGAAGGTGAGTCAATCCGGAAAATGTCAAGAACTTTGAAAGTTTCTTCAAGTGCAGTCGCAAAAACCATCAAGCGCTATGATGAAACTGGCTCTCATGAGGACCGCCACAGGAAAGAAAGACCCAGAGTTACCTCTGCTGTAGAGGATAAGTTCATTAGAGTTACCAGCCTCAGAAATTGCAGCCCAAATAAATGCTTCACAGAGTTCAAGTCACTGACACATCTCAACATCAACTGTTCAGAGGAGACTGCATGAATCAGGCCTTCATGGTCAAATTGCTGCAAAGAAACCACTACTAAAGGACAACCATAAGAAGAAGAGACCTGCTTGGGCCAAGAAACACGAGCAATGGACATTAGACCGGTGGAAATATATCCTTTGGTCTGATGAGTCCAAATTTGAGTAGGACTATCATTTGTTTTTCAACAGGACAATGACCCAACACCTCCAGGCTGTGTAAGGGCTATTTGACCAAGAAGAAGAATGATGGAGTGCTGCATTAGATGACCTGGCCTCCATAATCACCCAACTTCAACCCAATTGAGATGGTTTGGGATGAGTTGGACCGCAGAGTGAAGGAAAAGCAGCCAACAAGTGCTCAGCATATGTAGGAACTTGTTCAAGACTGTTGGAAAAGCATTCCAGGTGAAGCTGTTTGAGAGAATGCCAAGAGTGTGCAAAGCTGTCATCAAGGCAAAGGGTGGCTACTTTGAAGAATCTCAAATATAAAATATATATTGATTTGTTTAACACTTTTTGGGTTACTACATGATTCCATATGTGTTATTTCATAGTTTTGATGTCTTCCCTATTATTCTACAATGTATAAAATAGTAAATATAAAGAAAAGCCCTTCAATGAGTAGGTGTGTCCAAACTTTTGACTGGTATTCCATACATTTCTGCTGTAACGCAGGGTACAGCCAGAGCCGTATATCATATATCCAAATAAAAGGCTATAAGTCCGGGTACAGCTCTTCAAAGGGCACAGTAAGCGTCTATTCCTCCTCTGTAATTGCACAGTACAGTATGTCCTTTATTCCATTAGTTCTGGCATTACATTTCTTCATACACACTGTAAATAGAGTGCTTTTCAGAGGTTGTCAGTCAAAGCACTTTGGAAGAAGCATAACTTTTCTAAAAACGGGTCCAATCGATTAACATCCTTATAAATAAGTAATGCTGTTCTTGGAAATCTCTGAATAGTGTACACATTTCGTACAAGCTTTTTTTGGTCAACTATTCGATTTATTGATCAATTGATTGATTGACTCGGTGAATAACCAGACATATCAGGTTGCTTGGAAGCAGACATGAGCAGAAACAAAGGGAAAATAAGTACATCTGTACACAGCACCTACACACTAAGTATACCAAACATTAGGAACACCTTCCTATTATTGAGTTGGGATGCTGGCCCATGTTGACTTCAATGCTTCCCACAGTTGTGTCAAGTTGCTGGATGTCCTTTGGGTGGTGGACCCATTCTTAATACACACAGGAAACTGTTGAGCATAAAAAACCCAGCAGCGGTGCAGTTCTTGACACAAACCGGTGCGCCTGGCACCTACTACCATACCTCGTTCAAAGGCACTTCAATCTTTTGTCTTACCCATTCACCCTCTGAATGGCACACATACACAATCCATGTCTCCCCTTCATCTACACTGATTGATGTGGATTTAACAAGTGACAATAATAAGGGATCATAGCTTTCACCTGGTCAGTCTATGTCATGGAAACAGCAGTTCTTAATGTTTTGTATACTCAGTGTATACTCAGTGTATACTCAGTGTATACTCAGTGTATACTTAGTGTATACTCAGTGTATACTGTCCTAAAACTACATGCAAGGTGATGTAGTCCGACATTAGACATGCATGGCATTGATGATTTAAAAACAACTGTCAACTGTTAGATAGTACAAACGGCTAAATAACTATTATTTCAGTGGGTCAATACAGAATAACTGAATACACATGCACACACAAATAGAGGGTTTTTACACTGACTAGACCGGTTTCAAACTAGTGTAGTGTAAACATGCTGATATACTGTCCATGGAACACAGCGTGATCTACTACTGCCTGTCCAGTACATACAAAGCCTCTCTGTCATGCTTGGTTGTTGTAATACATAACACTTGAGCACCATCTAGTGCAGGGATCGGCAACTTTAATGGGGTAGGGGCCACAAAAAATCTGAACTCATCATGAGGGGGCCGCAGTGGTTCGCAGGTCTGCATACCCACGTCCTTACCTACACATGCAGTCAGAGCCTGCCTTTTGGGGGCCCTAAGCACATTTTTGTTGGGGGGCCACACCCAGCTTGCGAGCAAAACATTTTAGCGGCCCCCCTCTTGACAGTGGAGAGAAGAATATGACGTTTTAGAATTAATGTCCTGCAATTCTACATATTTTGCCATGGGGCATAGAGAAGATTTTGCAGTTTTACAGCTAATTTCCTGCAATTCTACACATTTTGCCTTGACTTATGCTGAGTGAGAGTGACTTACAATATGAAATCTGAGTGAGAGTGACTTACAAACCAAGGGGGGCCCCCCGGTCCGTAATTCAACCATGATTGGCCCCGTGTAGCTCAGTTGGTAGAGCATGGCGCTTGCAACACTAGGGTTGTGGGTTCGTTTCCCACGGGGGGCCAGTATGAAAAAATTTATGCACTCACTAACTGTAAGTCGCTCTGGATAAGAGCGTCTGCTAAATGACTAAAACGTAAATCACTACAAGTTTAGATAGCTGGCTAGATGGCTAGACTAAAGACTAACCTACCAATAAATAAAATAATCGCTGGCTTGGGCTTATTGAATGACTGTCAGTGACTGACATAACAAGAGAAAAACTGCTGATGCACAAGCACATTTTGAAATTGCACCTTGTTTATTCTACTATTCTAACTCTCAACAGTAAGTTGGGACCCTGATTGAGTTCCATTTTAAATGGATCCACGGGCCTACAAAAAGGGCAGCCAGTTACCCATCCATGATCTAGTGGCTCAAATGTTCCTAATCTGTCTACACTACTGCATCTTTCAATCAGGAAGAACTTGAAATGCCAGGAAATGTCTGTTCATTAATATATTAATATTAAAAGATGAGCAGCCTTACAACATATGGTCCATGAATTAGTTAATGCAAAATGTTATTCATGAGAAATATCAGATAACAGTTCAAGTGAATTCATGGTGTAGTCTTCTGTTACGCTCACTCTTAGTTTTACTAAGCAAACAAGTGCTCCATTTACTGACCCGTTTTCAATTCTATCAAGGCAATGGTAAGTAACAAAGGGAGAGTCAACACAGTCATAAGCGCATTATAATGAAGGGATTATACATGATTAGTAAAGTTAGGAAGTGGAGTCATGATTGCTATTGGGTACCTGTGGTTTTCATCTGCCTAGGATCATAGGATTCAGGGAATATGTAGGTGGGGCGGTATGGGTTTTCCTCAACAGGTTCTGAGCGAGGTGACGGAGACAAAAAACACACAACGTGACAACAACGAACACACTCACAGACTCACAAAGACAACGGCTTGACAGAAACAACTGACACGTTGGTCAACATCAAATCAAACACACACATGAGAACACTGAGTTAGACTTTTTTAATGATCCCCTTACCTGGAATTCTGTGTATCTGTTTAAACATGTTCTTGTACCAGTCCTTGGACTTCTCTGTGTTCTGAAAAGAACATATTCATGTTTTTTGTCATATTTAAAAACAAACAGGGGTTCTGACAAAAATATATAGGTAAAAGTGGATTGGCATTTGGCAGTGAGGCATATCGATTTTTCACCACTGTCCTACCGACCTAAGCATCAAATGAAAAATGCCCTGTGAAGGCTTCAGATTATTTAAAAAAGGCACAAGGTAAAAAAAAGTGACGTACACTATTAAGCACAACTCATTACATCTGGACTGTACACTCATAGGTGTGTCTTCTTAGCCTGATTCCAGATCTGTATGGGCTGTATAACTAACTCCTATGGTTGTTGTCATTGTTTGGCATGACCACGACCATAGGGGTTGGCTATACAGCTCAAACAGATCTGGGACCAGGCTACTGTCCTCTCTTTATACAGTCACTTCATTTTGTTTTCTTACCCGTACTGGCACAATGGGCTGGTTCAGTGGGCCCAAGACAGGGGATTGAGAGTACCTCATCCTCTTGCCGTCCATATCTGGGTGTTGGCTCTGTTCTCTCTCTGTCCCAACTACAGGTCCTGGATCAGGCAATTTGTCCCTCTCTTGGGTGGGGTCTGAAAAAGCCAGCATTGCTGTGTCAAAGGGAAGAGAAGTGCTACAGTGGGTTCTACCACTCAAAATCTGTCCTGTCAAATAAGTCTACATAAATCGTGGGCAAGCAGTTTACCCCATATGATCCACAAGCATACTATGCAAACGATATACAGTCATTTCAATGGTAAAACATGATTATGAACAGATTACACGAAAATACCACAGCAATTGAGATAACGAATTACAAAATGCTTTACAATGAAAAATGTACATATAATAAGTGCAGTAATTTATAAGATAGTTTGGTATTGTATGACGTACTCTTCTTATGTAAATATTAAAAACGATCCAATATCTCAGAGCAGGAGCATGAAAACACGTCACATTGGGCCGACATGAGGCTGACAGCAAACATATTTAGGCACTGTTCAGGCAGTAGAAAATGGACTGAAACAGGTAGGGACAATATGGACAAACAAATTGGCTAAATTGACTATATTATCAGGTAATGAAACTAAACGTTGTCCAGCCAGCGGCAGGAACTAAGATTGAAAAGAAGAGGCAGTGGACAAGACAATTTGTCAGAACTCCAGCGCATACCTTCCATATTAGAAATATGCATTTGTTGCTCTGTTGTGAGGAGAGGACAGAGATGGACAAAGGACAATGAAACAAGGCTAATCAAAGGGGTCAAGTCTAAGCTGCTCTGAGCTGGTCAATCCATGCTGGCTAACATTCAGTACAAGCCCAATCCGCCTTTCAGTCAGTCTCACTGGACTCTCTATCCCAGGCACATAACTTCAGAATTTAGTACACACTTCACAATGTGGTCAACATATTTCATGGCAATTTCATCCGTAACCCACATACAGTACTACCCAGAATCAGAGGTGCTTACCTCTGTTGTGTTGTAGTAGAACTATGGTTGGGTTGACAGTTTTGGTGTTGGAGGGGGCCTTTGTCGAAGTAATATGGTTCTGAATGTCAGAAGAGGCAGGAAGCTGGGGTTCTTCGGTGATCACAGGTGAACTTCCCTGGTAATGAGTGAATAACACTTGTGAGTGATGCTGTTCCTTCTCTTATATACGTTTTTGATAATAACAATAAACTGGATAGTATGAGTGGTTGAGCAGGAACATATTCTGGTTTTGCTAAGAAAACACATATTTTAGGCAATAACTTCAATTGACACAAAATCCTCAGCAGAAATACACCAAATAGGGCTATTTATATCACACTGAAATATGGTTTTATTCACATTAAACAATCATGCTATTATCAAATGTATTATCCCATAAATGCCCAAAATAGGGGAAATTAAGAAAAATCGTATTCACTGATTAGATGAAAACGCACCTGGGGTTGAGTTCTGTTGACTGTAGGTAAATCAGCTGTGATGTCGTGGAAGCCTCCATCAGCCAATCCCTTTTGAGAGCTGTCTCCATTGATCTGGCTGATCCAACCACCTGAAATGATCCCAAAACAATCTCAGTTTGGCCAGTGAATAACAGTGTAAGACGATCAGAAACCTAACAATACTGAAAGATACAAAAACAAACTACTGTACTCTTGGCAATCTTTGTCTCTTGGCAATTAACATTTTTCAGAGATTAACACCAAACTACAAGCAGGAAACAATTAATCCTCAATGAAATAAATCTCTGGCTGATCCTGCGGGGACCAAACGCTTCCTATAGTGCTTTTCCCGGACAGAGATGCTAATATCTCCATGGAGAAAGAAACCCAATGATTCTCCCACAATCTGTGAACTTTGTCATCAGAACAAGGCGCCTATTCAGTGGTCTGTAAAGGCTGTTTGTTCCAGTGGCCTTTATATTCAGTCTCAACAACAATTAAAGCATCTCCCCAAAAGCCCTCCAGTTTAAAGCCCAGTTCTAACGTGCTGAATGCAACAAACAAGTATACAGTCAAGGCCCTGTTTCCAAAGTGCAGTGTGGGCAGGTCCGAACAAAAGTTTTTTTTTGACAAAATATGAGCAATCATTGTCAACGATTCTCTGTTGGGCTGGGCAACCAAATATAAATACACTTTAAAATGTGGCAAGTTATCTCACTTTAATATCAAAACAACCAAAATATGTGCATAAGTGAGTCCAGCTGCACTTGATGAAGTACAGTATCTCAAGCATTTTAAGACTTCTGTGAATAGAAAAGCTTGGCAACACAGTGAATTTTGGAAAACAAATGACTAAATAGTCATTATTGCTAGTGATTCATCCTATGACATAATCAAGATATTACAATGTGCTATTTTGTTAACGGGAACATTTCCTTCCAGTTTGCCCCATCAACTATATTCCTCCAGCTATACATCTGCCCTCTAATTTGATCCCTTTCACAGAGCTATTGCTGGCGTTTCACTCAACTCCGTATTAGAAGGAAAACTCTACATAATATCAGAGATATTAGATATACTGTACATATGCTGTAATATCTAAGATTTTAGAGAGCAGCTTTAGCATTCTCTTTGACTTACTTGGTGCTGTGTCAACATTTGATTCTTCACTGACGCAGTCCTCGTCGTCTATGTGGACCAGAGTGGCCCTCAGAGTCACGACCCCCTTCCCTTTACACACCCTTGTAGGGTCCAGCTCTATAGATAGATAGGTACACACAATGATGTTATCACTTTCATTGGATCTTCATAGTCACTCATTGTTCCGAGGCAAAATATGTGCAAAAATCCTCACAGACACGCATTGTTTGACTCTATTCTCAGAGTGAGCTTCAATCACCATGAGACACAGTTCTATTGCCTCAGGTCCTGAGGGAATCCATGTTACCTCACCCCCCAAATTATAAAAATAGAATGTAAATGTCAAATCCAGGCCAACACTTTAATACTCTCCTCATCCATATCATTAATTTCCGTGCTAACACCATTAGTCAGTCATTATATCCAATAAGTACAACTGTGTTGTAACACTGGCAGAGACACTATAGTAGCTTACTGTTGTTTAAAATGGATGCAGATAGTTAACAAGTGATCCTCCTCGGCATATCCAGTGTGCCGAAGGTGTCCTAAAGTTCAGGCTGATGAAAGATAGATGAGACGGAGGAGTGGAGGGGTGGAGGAGTGGAGGAGGGGAAGAGGAGTTAATGAGTGTGTTCACCTGCAGACGGAATCAGATCAGGAGAGCCTTTCATGCTTGTCAGAGGGATGATTCTGACTGCAGACACACAGCGTGGACCTGAAGGGACCGGAGGAGCTGCCAAAACAACAGACAGACACAGTGTACAAGTGTAAGCTGGGGGCAAACTCTCAAAAGTGAACAGGGGGAATGGTAGTTGCATTGGCAGGGAGGGGTGTTCAGTGTATTAAGGGGCAAAACAAGGTGGATGTATTTTTGTTAACACCTCAATTGAACCCCTGGGTGTAAGTGAACCTCACCAAGGAAGGCTCAGCAAAACAGAGCTATAGTACACCTGTGTCTTTTTCTATTACAACATATTTTGGGACACTGGCTGATGAGCGCTGTACTACTTCACATTGTATGTTACTACATAAACAACATGCTCATGAAATAAATAACACCCCATGATTTGAGACAGACAACAGCAAGGAGAAGTGTTGACGCGGTGGGGAAAGCGGAGCTGGGAGACAGATTGCAGGAAGGAGACGACAGTGACATATAGGGATGCACTGCTGTAACAATGACCTTTTGAAACAGAAAAGACAGTAGGCCACTGTACGTTTGACTACAGAGAACAGAACTACAAGTGTACAGTAACAGATGGTGTCGACGATTACTTTACTGGAAGATCAACCATGCAACCTACATCACATACAGAACACATGCAACTTTCCCTTTGATGATGAGGGGCGTGTGAATACAGCATTTGTGTGTCCCCTCCACCTAAGCTATCAGTGCCGCAAACGCATGCAATCACTAACACTGCCCACGCTAACATGTAGCCTACTGTATGTCAGCCCTCCATCATAAACAAGCACTTTTTTTGTTGTTCACTGCCTTAGCTGATTGCCTGGAATGTATGGTTAGAGTGGTGTAACACATGATAGGCCTATTTCTTGTATGAGTAAGCTGCTGCAATGATAAAAATGTACTTGATTATTACACTCAACAAAATGAACAGGCATTGTGATCAAATACCCTAAACATCACTAAAGCCTTCTGCAACAGCAGAACTGAGCTTATTCTTCTCTTTTATGGTATTATTGTGGTCTGCAAACACACATTAGAGGTGCATGCTGCCACCTACTGTGTGCGGTGAAAACTGGGGAACTTGAACACAGAAAAAACATGGGAAAATTGGGAAAGGGTGAAAACATTATTTTTTTTTACTCCTTTAGTCTTTAGTCAGTTTCAAATGTCTACTCAGTTCCCAACAGTCTCTGGGGCCTGAAAGGGGAAAGCATCTTCAGACAATATTCCCTGCAATGTTTCGGCTACGAAGCCCTGGAGATCCAAAAACGTTTTAGCCGCGTTCACAATTATATCCAGTGTCTTTGTTTTCTTGTTTGTTTGGCGGACTGTACAGTATCACCTTCACCCTTACAGTGCACCCCTGGAAGAAGAACAGAGCTATGCAGTACAATGAGAGATACACTATGAGGAAAATAAGTGGATGAAACTTACTGTGGGATTGGTCATATCTCACACTGCCCTCTGCTGGACAGCCCTGGAGCAAAAGAAAGCCAGAGGGAGGATTATTGTAAAGCAAAGCAGATTTCAGCAAAATGTATTCTTTTACAGCATAGTAGTCAGCTCTGTTAGGGCCATCTTGAGAGACCAGGAAGTCTGAGCAGCAGTTTGTTTATTGGCAGGAATAGGCTGGGGTATGGTGGGAACAAACATTAATGTATTTGAAGATGGAGAAAAAAACGTTGCGAACATTGTATAGGCCTAAATGGATGGAGAAAATGATCATCCTTATTGATTATTTGAATGAATCACTTTAACATGCTGAACTGTAGGGCTGCTGGTACTGATGCATAAAATTTTAATTCACATGTGACATTTTCACACACGTGGTTTTCATGTTATTTTTTACCACTTCCAGTTACATCCTGGTCTCCCATTCAGAGACCAATCAGGACCGACCCTGCTTAGCTTCAGAAGCAAACCAGAAGTGCGATGCAGGGTTCTATGTTGCTGGAAGGAATATGCCAAAACTTGCAACTGGAAAAAAAAGGCAGCGAAAGCAAAGGCCAGGGTAACATAACCAAAGATAGGGTTAATTGCAGGAAAGAGGGAGGTGTTTTATTTAATTGCATTATCATAAACCAAAATCACAGAAAAATATTTTTAAAATAAAAATAGTTATTTCCTTGCAATATTTTGTTTTGCTATCAATATCTTTGGGTTTATGTTTTGCTTTCAATATTATTATTTTTGTTTGCAATACTAAGAATGTTGTTCTTGACTTCAGAAGTTTTGCTTGATATTAATGGCACAAAAGTAATTCACTCACTAGAGGATTGCACGATATAATAACAGTCACTCTATTAAAGGTGTTTAAAACGGGAATCCTTCATTGAAACACATTTCCCCACCACAGTTTCGGTGTCACGGTTTCGGCCGAGGCTGCTCCTCCTCCTGGTTCGGGCAGGCATCGGCGGTCGTCGTCCCCGGAGTACTAGCTGCCACCGATCTATGTTTCATGTTCGTTTGGTTTGGTCTTGATGTTGTACACCTGTGTCTAGTTAGTCCTCATTAGTGTTCTATTTAAGTCTCGTTGGGTGTGTCTGTGTTTGTGTGTGATTATTTTCTGTCGTGTGTTGTGCTTGTATTTGCTTATTCGCTCGGTTGAGCTTCACTCCACTGTGTTGGAGCGTTTACGCACATGTTTAGTGCGCCTTTTGTTTGTGTCGCCTTCGTGCGTAGTTTCGCCTTCGGGCAAGTTTTGTTCGTATTTTCCTTGTTGGAATTTGAACTAAAGTATTTTGGACTATACTTCGGTGTCCTGCGCTTGATTCCACCACTACACCCACCTACAGCATTCTTGACAGAATCACACACCATAAAGAATGGAATCAGCAGGAGCCGCAGCAGCCCAGGCGACGCTGGAGGACAAGGTCCGTGAACAAAGTGACCAGATCCTGCAGATGGGGTCCGCACTGCAGGAGGTGATCACCACCATCCGAGGCTGGGGGACTCCTCCACCGCCATCCTCCCTGCCAGAACCATCGGCCAGTCAGCCCATTCCCGTTCCGGAACCCCGAGGAGTGCGACTCTCGCTCCCGAGGGCCTACGATGGGACCGCGGCCGGGTGTCAGGGATTCCTTCTCCAGGTGGAGCTGTACCTGGCCACCGTGCACCCGGCGCCCTCGGGACATGAGAGCGTGTCCGCCCTGATCTCCTGCCTTTCCGGGAAGGCGTTGGAATGGGCCAACGCGGAGTGGAGGAGGATCGACGCGGATACCATCACCTACGACGAGTTCTCCCGCCGCTTCAGGGCGGTGTTTGACCATCCCCCGGAGGGGAAAGCGGCGGGGGAGCGTCTGGTCTTCCTCCGGCAGGGGAGGAGTGCCCAGGAGTTCGCCCTAGAATTCCGTACTCTAGCGGCAGATGCAGGGTGGAATGAGCGGGCTCTCGTCGATCACTACAGATGTAGTCTTCGCGAGGACGTCCGTCGGGAGCTGGCCTATAGGGACACCAGCCTCTCGTTCGACCAGTTGGTCGACATGTCCATCAGGCTGGATAACCTGCTAGCTACCCGCGGACGTTCCGAGGGGGGTCCGTCCATTTCACCCTCCAGCGCCTCCGAGCCGTGCCCCATGGAGCTCGGGGGCGCTGGCGCTAGAGAGCGGAGGAGGAAGAGCCCGAGGGGGCCTGTCTCCTGCACCAAGTGCGGTCGTGGAGGGCACACTGCGGCCAGGTGCTGGGGAGGGTTCTCCGAGGGAGAGGACAACAGGCCACGCACTGGGGGGGCCTCCCAGGTGAGTAGACGCCCTGCTTACCCAGAGCTTTCTGTTGCGCACTTTTGTATACCTGTTGGTTTTCCACAGGTTGCACCTCATTCCCAGCATAAGGCGCTAGTAGATTCAGGCGCAGCTGGGAATTTTGTTGATCGAAAGTTTTGTTTAGAGTTAGGGATCCCTCTCCTGCCTGTTGACAAACCTTTTCCCGTACATGCCTTAGATAGCCGCCCGTTGGGGTCGGGGTTGATCAGGGAGGTCACAGCGCCACTTAGGATGTGTGCGCAGGGGGGGTCATGAAGAGACTATACAGCTGTATCTGATCGACTCTCCTGCGTACCCAGTGGTGCTGGGGATTCCCTGGTTAAGCACCCATAACCCTGCTATTTCGTGGCAACAGAGGGCTCTCGATGGGTGGTCTGCTCAGTGTGAGGGGCGATGTCTGGGTGTTTCCGTGGGGGCGACTTCGGTGGAAAGTCCAAACCAAGTGCCCGCACTGCACATTCCGCCTGAATATGGGGATTTAGCTCTTGTGTTTAGCAAAACTAGGGCGACGCAGTTGCCTCCCCATAGACAGGGGGATTGTGCGATTGATCTCCAGGCAGGAGCAGCGCTCCCACGGAGCCATGTGTATCCTTTGTCTCAAGAGGAGAGGAAAGCTATGGAGACTTACATAGCCGAATCTTTGAGACAGGGATACATTCGGCCTTCCATTTCCCCCGCCTCTTCGAGTTTCTTTTTTGTGAAAAAGAAAGATGGAGGGTTGCGCCCGTGCATTGATTACCGTGGTCTCAATCAGATTACTGTGAAATACAGTTATCCACTCCCTCTGATTGCGACCATGACGGAGTCATTGCATGGGGCGCGGTTTTTCACAAAATTGGATCTCAGGAGCGCGTATAACTTGGTGCGCATTAGGGAGGGCGATGAATGGAAAACGGCGTTTAGTACCACGTCAGGTCATTTCGAGTATCTTGTCATGCCATATGGGTTGATGAATGCTCCATCAGTCTTCCAATCCTTCGTAGATGACATTTTCCGGGATATGCAGGGACAAGGGGTGGTCGTGTACATTGATGATATTCTGGTGTACTCGTCTACCCGAGCCGAGCATATAACCCTGGTGCGACGTGTATTGAGGAGGCTGTTGGAGCACGACCTATATGTCAAGGCAGAGAAATGTCTGTTTTTCCAGGAGTCGGTCTCCTTTTTGGGTTATCGGTTGTCCGCGTCAGGGGTGAGAATGGAGGTGGATCGTGTGTCCGCTGTGCGTAATTGGCAAACTCCAACCACTGTAAAAGAGGTGCAGCAGTTCTTGGGCTTTGCGAATTACTACCGGAGGTTTATCCGGGGTTTTGGACAGGTGGCAGCTCCCATCACGTCCCTTCTGAAGGGGGGTCCGGTGCGCCTGCAGTGGTCAGCTGATGCGGACAGGGCCTTTGGGAGACTGAAGGACCTGTTTACGTCGGCTCCGGTGCTGGCACATCCGGATCCCACAATTCCATTTCAGGTTGAGGTGGACGCGTCTGAGGCTGGTATAGGGGCCGTTCTCTCTCAACGGTCCGGCTCGCCACCTAAACTCCGCCCCTGTGCTTTTTACTCCAAAAAGCTCAGCCCGGCGGAGCGTAACTATGACGTTGGGGACAGGGAGCTGTTAGCTGTAGTTCAAGCCCTTAAGGTGTGGAGGCATTGGCTTGAGGGGGCTCAACACCCTTTCCTCATTTTGACTGACCATCGGAACCTGGAGTACATCCGGGCAGCGAAGAGACTGAACCCTCGCCAGGCTCGATGGAGTATGTTTCTCACCAGGTTCGTATTTAAAATCACGTACATCCCTGGGTCCCAGAATGGTAAGGCAGATGCACTGTCCCGGCGGTATGACACGGAGGAGAGGTCCGTTGAGCCTACTCCCATACTACCGGAGTCTTGCCTTGTGGCACCGGTGGTGTGGGAGGTCGATGCCGAGATCGAGCGAGCGTTGCGTACAGACCCCAGCCCTCCACAATGTCCTGAGGGTCGGAGGTACGTTCCGCTCGAGATTCGGGATCGACTCATCTACTGGGCTCACACGTCACCCTCCTCTGGACATCCGGGTATTGGCCGGACAGTGCATTGCCTTAGCACTAAATACTGGTGGCCTACTTTGGCTAGGGATGTGAGGGTTTACGTCTCCTCCTGCTCGGTGTGCGCCCAGTGTAAGGCGCCCCGACATCTGCCCAGGGGTAAGTTACAGCCCCTACCCGTTCCACAACGACCATGGTCCCACCTCTCGGTGGATTTTGTAACAGACCTTCCCCTCTCTCAGGGGAATACCACCATCCTGGTCGTTGTGGACCGGTTCTCTAAGGCCTGTCGTCTTCTCCCTATGTCGGGTCTTCCTACTGCCCTACAGACCGCTGAGGCCCTATTTACCCACGTCTTCCGGCATTACGGGATCCCCGAGGATATAGTGTCTGATCGAGGCCCTCAGTTTACCTCCCGTGTGTGGAGAGCGTTTATGGAGCGTTTGGGGGTCTCGGTTAGCCTTACCTCGGGGTACCACCCGGAGAGTAACGGGCAGGTAGAACGTGTTAACCAGGATGTGGGTAGGTTTCTGAGGTCGTATTGCCAGGACCGGCCTGAGGAGTGGGCGCGTTACATTCCCTGGGCCGAGATGGCCCAGAACTCTCTCCGCCACTCCTCTACTAACCTAACCCCTTTCCAATGTGTATTGGGTTACCAGCCGGTTCTGGCACCATGGCAGCAGAGCCAGATCGAGGCCCCTGCGGTGGATGATTGGATGAGGCGCTCGGAAGAGACGTGGAACGCTGCCCACGTCCACCTGCAGCGGGCCGTCCTTCGTCACAAGGCGAGCGCCGATCTCCACCGCAGTGAGGGGCCGGTGTACGCACCCGGAGATCGAGTCTGGCTCTCTACCAGAAACCTGCCCCTCCGCCTGCCCTGCCGGAAGCTGGGTCGGCGGTTTGTGGGGCCCTTTAAAGTCCTGAGAAGATTGAACGAGGTGTGTTATAGGCTACATCTACCTGTTGAATATAAGAATATTAACCCCTCGTTTCATGTGTCTCTTCTCAGGCCGGTGGTAGCTGGTCCACTCCAGGACAATGAGATAGGAGAGACTCCTCCGCCCCCATTGGACATCGAGGGGGCTCCGGCGTACACCGTTCGGTCCATCTTGGACTCCAGACGCCGGATGGGTATCTCGTGGAGTGGGAGGGGTACGGCCCGGAGGAGCGGTGCTGGGTGCCGCGGAGGGACATCCTAGACCCATCTCTCCTGTCGGAGTTCCACCGGGACCATCCCGCGCGCCCTGCTCCGCGTCCTCCTGGTCGTCCCCGAGGCCGGGGTCGGCGCACGGCTGGAGCCGCGCGTCAAGGGGGGGGTACTGTCACGGTTTCGGCCGAGGCTGCTCCTCCTCCTGGTTCGGGCAGGCATCGGCGGTCGTCGTCCCCGGAGTACTAGCTGCCACCGATCTATGTTTCATGTTCGTTTGGTTTGGTCTTGATGTTGTACACCTGTGTCTAGTTAGTCCTCATTAGTGTTCTATTTAAGTCTCGTTGGGTGTGTCTGTGTTTGTGTGTGATTATTTTCTGTCGTGTGTTGTGCTTGTATTTGCTTATTCGCTCGGTTGAGCTTCACTCCACTGTGTTGGAGCGTTTACGCACATGTTTAGTGCGCCTTTTGTTTGTGTCGCCTTCGTGCGTAGTTTCGCCTTCGGGCAAGTTTTGTTCGTATTTTCCTTGTTGGAATTTTAACTAAAGTCTTTTGGACTATACTTCGGTGTCCTGCGCTTGATTCCACCACTACACCCACCTACAGCATTCTTGACATTCGGTAAAAAGCTGAGGGATGGGGCTGGAGAAATGCAACCACTCTCAATTCCATAGATTACGCTATGGATGCAAGGACTGACCATCCATAATATCAATATTATAGTTTTAACCATGTTTTTAGGCTATACATATACAGTGAGGGAAAAAGGTATTTGATCCCCTGCTGATTTTGTACGTTTGCCCAATGACAAAGAAATGATCAGTCTATAATTTTAATGGTAGGTTTATTTGAACAGTGAAAGACAGAATAACAACAAAATAATCCAGAAAAACGCATGTCAAAAATGTTATAAATTGATTTGCATTTTAATGAGGGAAATAAGTATTTGACCCCCTCTCAATCAGAAAGATTTCTGGCTCCCAGGTGTCTTTTATACAGGTAACGAGCTGAGATTAGGAGCACACTCTTAAAGGGAGTGCTCCTAATCTCAGTTTGTTACCTGTATAAAAGACACCTGTCCACAGAAGCAATCAATCAATCAGATTCCAAACACTCCACCATGGCCAAGACCAAAGAGCTCTCCAAGGATGTCAGGGACAAGATTGTAGACCTACACAAGGCTGGAATGGGCTACAAGACCATCGCCAAGCAGCTTGGTGAGAAGGTGACAACAGTTGGTGCGATTATTCGCAAATGGAAGAAACACAAAATAACTGTCAATCTCCCTCGGCCTGGGGCTCCATGCAAGATCTCACCTCGTGGAGTTGCAATGATCATGAGAACGGTGAGGAATCAGCCCAGAACTACACGGGAGGATCTTGTCAATGATCTCAAGGCAGCTGGGACCATAGTCACCATTGACAATTGGTAACACACTATGCCGTGAAGGACTGAAATCCTGCAGCGCCCGCAAGGTCCCCCTGCTCAAGAAAGCACATATACATGCCCATCTGAAGTTTGCCAATGAAAATCTGAATGATTCAGAGGAGAACTGGGTGAAAGTGTTGTGGTCAGATGAGACCAAAATTGAGCTCTTTGTCATCAACTCAACTCGCCGTGTTTGGAGGAGGAGGAATGCTGCCTATGACCCCAAGAACACCATCCCCACCGTCAAACATGGAGGTGGAAACATTATGCTTTGGGGGTATTTTTCTGCTAAGGGGACAGGACAACTTCACCGCAACAAAGGGACGATGGACAGGGCCATGTACCGTCAAATCTTGGGTGAGAACCTCCTTCCCTCAGCCAGGGCATTGAAAATGGGTCGTGGATGGGTATTCCAGCATGACAATGACCCAAAACACATGGCCAAGGCAACAAAGGAGTGGGTCAAGAAGAAGCACATTAAGGTCCTGGAGTGGCCTACCCAGTCTCCAGACCTTAATCCCATAGAAAATCCGTGGAGGGAGCTGAAGGTTCGAGTTGCCAAACGTCAGCCTCGAAACCTTAATGACTTGGAGAAGATCTGCAAAGAGGAGTGGGACAAAATCCCTCCGGAGATGTGTGCAAACCTGGTGGCCAACTACAAGAAGCGTCTGACCTCTGTGATTGCCAACAAAGTTTTTGCCACCAAGTCATGTTTTGCAGAGGGGTCAAATACTTATTTCCCTCATTAAAATGCAAATCGTTTTTTTTGATTTTTTTGTTGTTATTCTGTCTCTCACTGTTCAAATAAACCTACCATTAAAATTATAGACTGACCATTTCTTTGTCAGTGGGCAAACGTACAAAATCAGCAGGGGATCAAATACTTTTTTCCCTCACTGTACTTGCAATACCACATGTGAAAGTGAGAATTTCACATGAAGGTTTTTCACATGAGAAACTGCATATCCAATTCTCACATGTGAACGTTTTTAACATGTGAAACCGCAAATTTCACTTGTGAAACTGCAATTCACATTGGAGGTGAAAACATTATTCTCCTCACAGAACAATGAGTATCCAAGGAAGGTATATATGTCATCACATAGGGGTGTTCACCTCATTAGTCATCAGTGGTATGATTAAGTACACAAACAATACCATAGTAATACACACTACCACTGAAGACAGTGCTGCTATTGATATTCCATGCACAAAGAGTAAGGGAACACATCAAACAGAGTCCCTTGTGCGACAGCTAAATGTGTCCTCCAGGACTAGTAGAAAGAGAGGAGAGGGAGAACAGGACATACAGTGTGCTGATCCGAGCTGCATCATTGGAGCATGCAGGAACAACACCAAGGCCACATAAAAGAGGCAGTGAAACACTTCCAGGGAGTCCTCTATTGTATATCGCCAAGAGGACTGATTTAAGAGACACTCTGAACACTCCCATTTATATTGCCCACTGTAGAAAAGATTGGAATTGAGTTAAGACAGAGACAAACATTTGCTCTCTTTCTTTCTTTCTCTCTCTCGCTTGTTCACACGCTTGCAGGCAAACACGCACGGCACACATGCACGCACGCGCACACACACACACACACACACACACACACACACACACACACACACACACACACACACACACACACACACACACACACACACACACACACACACACACACACACACACAGTTGTGGTTCGATGATAACCTCCTGAAATTAAGCCTAAATAGACTTTAGTGAGTTTCCAGACAAGACCCAAGGGTACCAACAGATCGCAGAACACTTACGTCTTTGAGCCATATTTCTTCTTCTTATAGTAGTGAAATAGACTAATTTCCTGACCCCGGGTGTCCACAAGAGGTCAGCTAAAATGTCATTTTAAGAACTACAGTCGTGGTCAAAAGTTCGTTTCCCACGGGGGGGGGGGGGGGGGGGGGGGGGCAATATGAAAAATGTATGCACTCACTAACTGTAAGTCGCTCTGGATAAGAGCGTCTGCTAAATGACTAAAATGTAAATGTATACTGAAGTATAATTACAAGCATTCCATAAGTGTCAAAGGCTTTTATTGACAATTACATTAAGTTTATGCAAAGATGTCAATATTTGCAGTGTTGACCCTTCTTTTTCAAGACCTCTGCAATCCGCCCTGGCATGCTCTCAATTAACTTCTGGGCCACATCCTGACTGATGGCAGCCCATTCTTGCATAATCAAGCCTTGGAGTTTGTCAGAATATGTGGGGTTTTGTTTGTCCACCCGCCTCTTGAGGATCGACCACAAGTTCTCAATGGGATTAAGGTCTGGGGAGTTTCCTGGCCATGGACCCAACATTTCAATGTTTTGTTCCCCGAGCCACTTAGTTATCACTTTTGCCTTATGGCAAGGTGCTTCATCATGCTGGAAAAGGCATTGGTCGTCACCAAACTGTTCTTGGATGGTTGGGAGAAGTTGCTCTCAGAGGATGTGTTGGTACCATTCTTTATTCATGGCTGTGTTCTTAGGCAAAATGTGAGTGAGCCCACTCCCTTGGCTGAGAAGCAACCCCACACATGAATGGTCTCAGGATGCTTTCCTGTTGGCATGACACAGGACTGATGGTAGCGCTCACCTTGTCTTCTCCGGGGACAAGGTGTTTTCAGGATGACCCAAACAATCGGAAAGGGGATTCATCAGAGAAAATGACTTTACCCCAGACCTCAGAAGTCCAATCCCTGTACCCTTTGCAGAATATCAGTCTGTCCCTGAAGTTTTTCTTGGAGAGAAGTGGCTTCTTTGCTGCCCTTCTTGACACCAGGCCATCCTCCAAAAGTCTTCGCCTCACTGTGCACTCACACCTGCCTGCTGCCATTCCTGAGCATTCCTTTTTGTGCAAAGCAATGATGACATGGTTTCCTTGCAGGTAACCATGGTTAACAGAGGAAGAACAATGATTTCAAGCACCACCCTCCTTTTAAAGCTTCCAGTCTGTTATTCTAACTCAATCAGCATGACAGAGTGATCTCCAGCCTTGTCCTCGTCAACACTCTCACCTGTGTTAATGAGAGAATTACTGACATGATGGCAGCTGGTCATTTTGTGGCAGGGCTGAAATGTAGTGGAAATGTTTTTTTGGGGATTATGTTTATTTTCATGGCAAAGAGGGACTTTGCAATTTATTGCAATTCATCTGATCACTCTTCATGACATTCTGGAGTATATGCAAATTGCCATCATCAAAACTGAGGCAGCAGACTTTGTGAAAATTAGTATTTGTGTCATTCTCAAAACTTTTGACCACGACTGTATATGTGATATTTCGTGACCAGTCTGAACACACTCTAAGACTATTTGACATGAAGCATATGTTGTTTCAGAACAGTATCTTTTGGAGAGTAATGAGAGTTAACTGCATTGTTTTTGAAGCCTTACCTCTATCTGAAGAAATTATAATCAAACTGGAAATCAATCTATTGAAAGATACAGTACAGATGGTCAATTTACAGGGCCAGTTTCCCAGACATAGATTAAGCCTAATCCTTGACTAAAAAACCTTTTCAATGGAGATTTTCCATTGACGGCACTTTTAAATCCAGGACTAGGCTTAATCTGTATCCAGGAAACTGTCCCTAAGTGTTTTCAAACACTGAATCATAAATCTACCTTGCAGACAATAGAGAAGACGTAACAGCTAACAGCGTACAGTACACTAGGTAAACACAGTGCAAAGATTGCTTCAGTCTTTATTAGGAAAAGAGATCGTCAGTAGTCCGACCAGAGAGGTCGGGAGAGGGGGGGAGAGAGAGACAGGTCATCAGTGCAGGGACAGCCAGCAGTGCTCAGGCCAAGATAAACAGGAGACTGAGATAAACTGTAATCAAGTAAACCTACAGTACTAAAGTTTCTACCTAAATGCACATTCTCTTGATCCGGATAATCTGAGATGATTTTAGAGCTAATTTACCTTAACAAATGCAGGTCAATTTGGCTCAGTGGCACAGACACTGAAGAAAAAAACAGATACTGTACTAAATTGAGAAACTCAAAACCCACATTCCTAACCAAATTCATTTTGGCAGTGTGCTTGGATGATTATATATAGTGCTCTGCTCTCAGATATGTAATGAGAGGGCTGCTGCAGGTCATTCATTTATGAGGCCATGAGTTAACTTTCATTTTGGTCTGTAACCACATGGAATTCATCACTTACAGTGGCGATTTTAGCATGTACATCTTGGTGGGGCAAACTAAAAACATATTTTTTTAGATGCATGCCAGCAAAGCCATTACACAACACAACACTAAACAATGCATTAATTGCACTATAACGGTGACAAACACTGCCCACAAACAGTTAGGGGCTACCTAATGCTGTCCCAACACCTTACCACTGCTACACCTGGCTATCAGCGGAGCCTTGTCTGGCAGCGAAACAGTTCATTCAGTCTCATTCACTGCCTTTGAAAAAAACATAGCTGGTATGGCTGACTTGCTTAAACATGTGGTTTCTACTGACAATTGAGATGTACAAACTATGGCATAAGGGGACGACGAGCGGATAAGAGGCAATCCGTAATTTTGATTAAGACATTAATAAGCGAGCTAGGATGGATGTAGTCAATATAACTATCTGTTCAGCACTTTTGAAATGTACAGCGACAGAATTCAGAACATGGGCCGTTCTTACAGTATTCTCCCTGTACACCAAGTCAGAACCGTATTATAAATAAAGGGAACATATAAGCAGACAATGAAAGCCCTTACAATATTCAATGATTACATTTCTCTAAAACAGGCTATAGGCTACATGTGCACCACCAACTCAGAACAGAAGGCTAAGTTCTGAGGGGGAAAGGGACCAAATTATTAGGGCTAGGCACATTGGCTACTAACAGCTTACAACACAACATACTTAGTATTACTTTCTTAGCTACAGTATACTTATCTCCCTGGCATATTACATCATTTATGCAGCAGCATACAATACATTTTTTAAATCACCTTGTTGTGCTGTGCTCACTTGAACAGGAAGGTTGTGCGGCGGTCCTTCGTGGGCAAATTTTGTCATCAAAGTCTGGCATTCTCTGGATTTATGGTGCTTTCAAGACAACTGGGAACTCGGCAAAAAACAAGGTCGAATCAGGATGAGGTCGGAGCTCTAAAAAGAGCCCAGAGAACCCGACTTGCAATTCCGAGTTGGATGACCGTTCAAAACTTATTTTCCCAGTCGGAGCTCGTTTAAAAAAAATAACTCACTGAAGTCGGATTTCCCAGATCTGAGTTTCCAGTTGTTATGCAGAAGTCATGCTGGATTGACAGAATGGCCAATGTTGAATGTTTATCCTTTTAAGCTTGGAAAAGAGACCATTAATCCCATACTTGGACCACACACCCACTCCACTGAATAGCAGGCTAGTGATTGCTTTGCAAACCTTGCAGTTAGCCACTGATTCCTTCCAAACCACTCATTGTTGAATTTGCGATTTCCAATTTATTGTGTACTGTTTATGTCCAATGGCCGATGAGCACCGATATGTTTTATCTATAATTTCTCTTCATAATTTCTCTTCACATGACAAGGATTAAAAAGGATTTGCCAGTAGATTGTCGACTTGACTCATGATGATGACTGCTAGCTTGTTAGCTAAGATTTTGAAAGTATGATGTTGACATGATCAGTCCAATCAAAGCTACTGTAGATACAGTGCATTTGGAAAGTATTCAGACCCCTTTTTCCAAATGTTGTTACGTTACAGCCTTATTCTAAAATGGATTAAATTGTTTTTTTCCCCCTCATCAATCTAAACACACTACCCCATAATGACAAAGCAAAAACTTGTTTTTAGAATGTTTTGCAAATGTATTTAAAAAAAACTGAAGTATATCATTTACATAAGTATTCAGACCCATTACTCAGTAGGTTGTTGGAGCACCTTTGGCATTGATTACAGCCTTGAGTCTTCTTGGGTATGATGCTACAAGCTTGGCACACTTGTAATTGGGGAGTTTCTCCCATTTTTCTCTGCAGATCCTCTCAAGCTCTGTCAGGTTGGATGGGTGCACAGCTATTTTCAGGTCTCTCCAGAGATTTTTGATCGGGTTCAAGTCCGGGCTCTAGCTGGGCCACTCAAGGACATTCAGAGACTTGTCCCGAAGCCACTCCTGCGTTGTCTTGGCTGTGTGCTTAGGGTCGTTGTCCTGTTGGAAGGTGAACCTTCGCCCCAGTCTGGAGCAGGTTTTCATCAAGGATCTCGCTGTACTTTGCTCCGTTCATCTTTGCCTCGATCCTGACTAGTCTCCCAGTCCCTGCCGCTGAAAAACATCCCCACAGCATGATGCTGCCACCATCATGCTTCACCGTAGGGATGGTGCCAGGTTTCCTCCAGGCGTGACGATTGGCATTCAGGCCAAAGAGTTCAATCTTGGTTTCATCAGACCAGAGAATCTTGTTTCTCATGGTACGAGAGTCTTTAGGTGACTTTTGGCAAACTCCAAGCGTACTGTCATGTGCCTTTTACTGAGGAGTGACTTCTGTCTGGCCACTCTGGCATAAAGGCCTGATTGGTGGAGTGCTGCAGAGATGGTTGCCCATCTGGAAGGTTCTCCCATCTCCACAGAGAAACTCTAGAGCTCTGTCAGAGTGACCATTGGGTTCTTGTCACCTCCCTGACCAAGGTCCTTCTCCCCCGATTGCTCAGTTTGGCCGGGCAGCCAGCTCTAGGAAGAGTCTTAGGGGTTCCAAACTTCTTCCATTTAAGAATTATGGAGGCCACTGTGTTCTTGGGGACCTTCAATGCTGCAGACATTTTTGGGGTACTCTTCCCCAGATCTGTGCCTCAACACAATCCTGTCTCTACGGACAATTCCTTCGACCTCATTGCTTGGTTTTTGCTCTGACATGCACTGTCAACTGTGGGACCTTATATAGACAGGTGTGTGCCTTTCCAAATCATGTCCAATCAATTGAATTTGCCACAGGTGGACTCCAATCAAGTTGTAGTAACATCTCAAGGATGATCAATGGAAACAGGATGCAATTGAGCTCAATTTCGAGTCTCATAGCAAATGGTCTGAATACATATGTAAATAAGGAATTTCTGTTTTTTATTTTTAATCCATTTGCAAAAAATTCTAAAAACCTGTTTTTGCTTTGTCATTATGGGGTATTTTGTATTTTGTGTAGATTGCTGAGGATTTTTATTTATTTAATCCATTTTAGAATAAGGCTGTAATGTAAAAATTTGGAAAAAGTCAAGGCGTCTGAATACTTTCCGAAGACACTGTGTAACATTATTTGACGTCATTTTATCTCTGGCCAATGACCTTAAGCCTTTTTGGATGGGCACTTCTATTGTAACTCCATGGCAGCACCCAAGGGACTTGATTTTTCGAGTTCTATCCTTAGATTTGGCGGTGACGTAGTGTCCCCATGAGTGACAGAACACTGAGCCAATCACGGTGCAACTAGAGTACATTACCAACCCCTACGCTCCGTATTTTCCGCTGGCTGCCCCACCACAACAGAAAGTACTGGGCTAGGCTGAAACACCTTTATTTTGGAGCTGCCTTACTCAAGAAAGCAAAAAAGAGACCAAGTTTATATGCAGCTTTATTAACTCAATGATTCTTTTAAATAAATGAATTTGTTTTGGGGGAAAAAAGGTGGGCCTCAAAATGACGGGTCGCCACTGATCACTTATTAACCCCTACATTTCCCATCAACATTAATCTCTTAAAAACCAACTCCTACCGCCTCTTGTACGAGAATGAAAACACAGAGCTCTGTTTATTATTGATAACTTTTTAGGAAGTCACTGTTTATTGGGACACAAACATCATGTGCTAAATGAAGTATGGACAGATTTTTTATATATATAAGAAGAAAAGAAGAAGAAAAAAAAACGATAAAGGAAATATTAATACCAGCATACCATAAGTATTACTGTGAATACATCAATTAGGCTTGAACAATGCCTCACACTGTCACAATGTCATGATGCCAAATCTGCAATGTATGTCCTACAACACACAGCCAATGTAAATCCCCACCGATAACGGCAATAAGTAATGCAACGTATTTACACTAGCGGGACCCCACTCTTACGGGAGGTAAATAATTGGAAATTATGAATTTGTTTTAATTTAATCTTTGAGGACCGACAGCTTTAACTCAATAAATGCTTGCACACATCGCACTGAATGTGGATCTAGCGTTCGTCTGCCGATCTTTCAGCACGCTGTTTTAGGGACCACCCACTGTAGACATCTGACTGCCGATGTTTTTCACCAGTTCTACGTGTAAAATCGGTGCGAACTCGGTTCGCAAATTGCGTTCAGAGGTGCTAAGTACTCGCTGTTGGTGTGTTTGAGCCCCGACTCCCCCCCGAAAATCTAAATGATGTTGTTTGTATCTCTTCAGCTATTTGGTCTCTGGATGCTGTAGCATTCTCAAGTCCCACATTTCCCATGGGATCATGGCACTTGTTGCTTTCCCTTTCAAATTCAATGATTTGACAGGCCTACCATGAACACGTTACCCACAATTTAAAAAAACACACTCATGTAGAAGAAACTATAATATCAGGGCCTGTATTCACAAAGACTGAAGTAGCTAGAAGTGCTGTCCATTACTGAATAAGATTACATTTTACTGACTCATTTACAGTATGTTAACACCTGGTTTAGACAGAGGCAGAATCAATTGATATAGAGACCTTCCCTGGCAAGATCCTCAGTGGATTATAACGTAAAGTAGACATGTATGGAAAAACTCTCTCTTTGAAATGATGTGTGGATTTGTGAGGTTTTGTATTATCAACTGGGTCAACAAATGAAAGCTCTCCCTTTCTCTGGGACTTTCTCACTTTGAGGGTAGTGGATGGAGTACATTGATCAGATAAGGAATGTGTAGTATATTCCCCATTTTTACACTGCACACCAGAGGATCCATACATTGGGGGTTATCCATTGACAATATTTTCCGGCACATTGGACATTCTAGAGATCCCTTCTGTTTCCAGAATTCCTTCAGACAGGCTTTGCAGACGCTGTGGGTACATAACAGGAAAACTGGATCCCTGAAGATGTCACAGCACACAGTACATCAGAGATCCTCCTCTGGGAGGGAAGGTTTAGATGCCATTTTCTCACCACCACCGTCTCTCTTCTGTGATGGCTTCTGGAATTGAGGTTTACTTTCACTTTTGAAAACTTACAGCAGTGAGGTCAGTAGAACTTGGAAATAACAATGTATAGTAGATTATGCTGTTTCTTCAACCATCTTCAATGGTTATTTGAATGTTGATTATTTCCAACAATTATAAGTCCATAAGGCAAATAAATAATTTAGACCGAATGTTGTGAGCATTACTGAATAGCTACATGCTACAGTGTGGTTCCGTTGTGAACTTACTTCTTCCTGGTTGACAGATAATACAGGGGTGGAGCTCTCTGCAAAGGCTGCATACATCTCACGTGTGTGTCTGTGTGTGTGTGTGTTATCAAATTGCAGAAAGAGAGCAAGCTCTCTCTTCAATACTGGACATTAACAAAACTCTAGCTCCAATTTACAATTACACAACACAATGTTGCCACTACAATATCATGGTATACCATTAAAAACATATCATCAATGGCAGTCATATGCTGCCTTCAAATGCTCTTCCGAATCTCTTATTTCTCAGTTGGTGAAATCATTGATACAACATGCGTGCGTTCAAGTGTTTTTTAAGTTAGAACAACTCTTCAACCACAGATTTAGAATAGCATTGCTAAGCAAGGTAACGTTGCTAATAATTCCTTAGCTACCTTGCCAACATTTACACATCATTAGCTATATCCACATCATTACAGGAAGGTTGTAAATGGCTTTGTCTTATCGTTGTTTGGTTGAAAAGGTGAAGGGTCAGTGATGATGCGTCAGAACTTCTGGGCAGAGTTTCCCACTTGGAGGGTTGTTCAAGTGGTTATTTCTGAGTTGGAAACGTGCATTTACGAATTTCCGACAGCACGAGTTTCCGACAGCACTTGAATGCACAAATCATTATCATGTGAATGTAACTAGTTTGACAATATTGTCACAGTTAGTAATCTAGTTAACATATTATTAGCAATCTCAATGACATTTCATAGGTTAAAAAAATTATTCCGACTTCAAAGGCACTTGAATGCATGCATGTCGTATAACAACTTCACCAACTTGGAAATACACTACATGACCAAAAGAATGTGGACACCTGCTCATCGAACATCTCATTCCAAAATCATAGGCATTAATATGGAGTTGGTCTCCCCTTTGCTGCTATAACAGCCTCCACTCTTCTGGGAAGGCCTTCCACTAGATGTTGGAACATTGCTGCGGGGACTTGCTTCCATTCAACTACAAGAGCATTAGTGAGGTCGGGCACTGATGTTGGGTGATTAGGCCTGGCTCGCAATAGGTGTTCCAATTCATCTCAAAGGTGTTTGATGGGGTTGAGGTCAGGGCTCTGCGCAGGCCAATCAAGTTCTTCCACACCGATCCAGGAAAAAACATTTCTGTAAGGACCTCGCTTTGTGCACGGGGGCATTGTCATGTGAAACAGGAAAGGGGAAAGTTGGGAACACAGAATCATCTAGAATGACATTGTATGCTGTAGCGTTTAGATTTCCCTTCACTGGAACTAAGGGGCCTAGACCAAACCATGAAAAACAGCCCAAGATCATTATTCCTCCTACACCAAACTTTACAGTTGGCACTATGCATTGGGGCAGGTAGCATTCTCATGGCATCCCCCAAACCCAGATTTGTCCGTTGGAATGCCAGATGGTGAAGCGTGATTCATCACTCCAGAGAATGGTTTCCACTGCTCCAGAGTCCAATGGTGGCGAGCTTTACACCACTCCAGCCGACGCTTGTGTCACGTCTCCTCCTGTTGCTCCCCTCCGGTGCTCTGATTCGCCGGTCTACTGAGCCACCGGTCTGAGCCCACCACCTCGGCAACACCATCTGAGCTATGGAAGCCGCCCTGCTTCTGAGTCCTCACCCAAGGAGGTGGGCAGCACCCCCTACACCACCACAGACCACAGATCTCCTGGCGGCTCCCTATCTAGGCGGTATGACTCCCGTCGCCGCTCCGTGAGTGTTACGTCAGCTCCTATCACAAAACCATTGTTTTTAGCTCCCGTAACGGTGACTGGTTATTCCTTCTCTTCCATTTCTACCGCAATGATAGATTCCGGATCAGCGGGGAACCTTATAGATAGGGAGCTGGTCTCTGAATGGGGGTTGGTATTACACGCACCCTGCATTCTCTAGCCCAAAAATACTGGTGGCCCACCTTGGCTTCTGATGTCTCCCGCTACGTCAACTCCTGTTCCGTATGTGCCCAAACGAAGACACCTCGGAACGCCCCGGCAGGCAAACGAGTTTCTCTCCCAGTGCCTCAGCGACCTTGGTCACACCTGTCCATAGACTTTGTCACCGACCTTCCACGTTCTGATGGCTTCATCACAGTCATGGTGGTCGTAGATCGGTTCTCCAAATCATGCAGTTTTTGCCACTAATTGGTCTACCTTCTGCTGTCCAGGTCACTGAGTTCCTGTTCCAACAGGTCTTCCGGCATTATGGACTTCCGGAGGACATCGTCTCGGACCGTGGCCTCAATTCACCTCCCGAGTGTGGAAGGCTTTCCTGGAGAAGATCAGGGCCGAGTGGGCGAGGTTTCTTCCTTGGACAGAATAAGCCCAGAACTCCCTCGTTCACTCCTCCATGGGGCTCACTCCCTTCCAGTGCGTCCTGGGGTACCAGCCGGCCCTGGCCCCTTGGACACCCAGCCAGGCCGATGCGCCCGCTGTTGACGAGTGGTTCCATAGGGCCGGACAGGTCTGGGACGCCGCCCATGTCCATCTCCAGAGGGCCATTAGTCGGCAGAAGGACCAAGCCGACCGCCACCGCAATGAGGCCCCTGTATTCCAGCCTGGGGATCGTGTCTGGCTGTCCACAACAAACCTCCCTCTCCACCTGCCCTGCAAGAAATTGAGCCCCCAGTTTGTGGGGCCATTTTAGGTCCTCTGGCGGATAAATGAGGTATCATACCGGCTGCTCCTTCCCCCTCACTACCATGTCTCACCCACTTTTCATGTGTCTCTCCTCAGGCCGGTGGTTCCTGGTCCTCTGGCGGATGCCGTCCCCCGGGGTATGCCTCCTCCGCCCCTGGACATTGACAGGAGTCCGGCATATGCGGTGAGGGACCTGCTGGACTCCAGGTTCCGTGGGGGACGGCTCCATTACCTGGTGGACTGGGAGGGGTATGGTCCTGAGGAGAGGAGCTGGGTTCCGGCTGGGCATTCTGGACCCCAACCTAATTCGGGACTTCCACCGTCGCCGCCCTGACCGGCCCGCTCCTCGTCCTCCTGGCCGGCGACGTCCAGCAGCTGGAGCCGTGTGTCCGGGGGAGGGGGGGAGGGGGTGGGGGTACTGTCACGTCTCCTCCCGTTGCTCCCCTCCGGTGCTCTGATTCGCTGGTCTACTGAGCCACCAGTCTGAGCGCACCAGCTCAGCAACACCGGAATGGAAACTCCACGCACCCTAATCACCTCCAGCGCACCTGCACCTCATCATCTCATCACCACCCCTATTTAGCCCTGGACTGTTCTGGATGATGTTGTGTGTGATTGTTTAGCTTCGTGTCGTTTACTCAATCTTTGTTATTTCTCTTTGTCATTGTTTAGTAAACCTTGACCTTGTTAATTCCTGCATCTGCATCATGCCTCTTCGTATACTCAGTACTCGTCACAGCTTGGCATTGCGCATGGTAATCTTATGCTTGTGTGCGGCTGCTCGGCCATGGAAACCCATTTCATGACGCTCCAGATAAACAGTTATTGTGCTGACGTTGCTTCCAGAGGCAGTTTGGAACTCGGTAGTGAGTGTTGCAACCGAGGACAGATGATTGTTATGGCCTCGGCCTTCCCGTTCTGTGAGCTTGTGTGGCCTACCATGTTGCGGGTGAGCCGTTGTTGCTCCTATATGTTTCCACTTCACAATAACATCACTTACAGTTGATCGGGGCAGCTCTAGTCGGAAGTTTACATACCCTTAGGTTGGAGTCATTAAAAGTCGTTTTTCAACCACTCCACAAATTTCTTGTTAACAAACTATTGTTTTGGCAAGTCGGTTAGGACATCTACTTTGTGCATCACACAAGTAATTTTTCCAACAATTGTTTACAGACAGATTATTTCACCTATAATTCACTGTATCACAATTCCAGTGGGTCATAAGTTTACATACACTAAGTTGACAGCTTGGAACATTTCAGAAAATGATGCCATTGTTTTAGAAGCTTCTGATAGGCTAATTGACATCATTTGAGTCAATTGGAGGTGTACCTGTGGATGTATTTCTAGGCCTACCTTCAAACTCAGTGCCTCTTTGCTTGACGTCATGGGAAAATCAAAAGAATTCAGCCAAGACCTCAGAAAAAAATGTGTAGACCTCCACAAGTCTGGTTCATCCTTGGGAGAAATGTCCAAACGCCTGAAGGTACCACGTTCATCTGTACAAACAATAGTACGCAAGTATAAACACCATGGGACCACGCAGCCGTCATACCACTCAGGAAGGAGACGCTTTCTGTCTCCTAGAGATGGACGTACTTTGGTGCGAAAAGTGCAAATCAATCCCAGAACAACAGCCAAGGACCTTGTGAAGATGCTGGAGGAAACAGGTACAAAAGTATCTATATCCACAGTAAAATGAGTCCTATATCGACATAACCTGAAAGGCTGCTCAGCAAGGAAGAAGCCACTGCTCCAAAACCACCATAAAAAAGCCAGACTACGGTTTGCAACTTCATATGGGGACAAAGATCGTACTTTTCTGAGAAATGTCCTCTGATCTGATTAAACAAAAATAGAACTGTTTGGCCATAATGACCATCGTTATGTTTGGAGGAAAAAGGTGGACTTGCAAGCCGAAGAACACCATCCCAACCATTAAGCACAGGGGTGGCAGCATCATGCTGTGGGGGTGCTTTGCTGCAGGAGGGTCTGGTGCACTTCACAAAATAGATGGCATCATGAGGAAGAAAAGTATGTGGATATATTGAAGCAACATCTCAAGACATCAGTCAGGAAGTTAAATCTTGGTTGCAAATGGGTCTTCCAAATGGACAATGACCCCAAGCATACTTCCAAAGTTGTGGCAAAATGGCTTAAGGACAACAAAGTCAAGGTATTGGAGTGGCCATCACAAAGCCCTGACCTCAATCCTATAGAACATTTGTGGGCAGAACTGAAAAAGCGTGTGCGAGCAAGGAGGCCTACAAACCTGACTCAGTTACACCAGTTCTGTCAGGAGGAATGGGCCAAAATTCACCCAACTTATTGTGGTAAGCTTGTGGAAGTCTACCCGGAACGTTTGACCCAAGTTAAACAATTTAAAGGCAATGCTACCAAATACTAATTGAGTGTATGTAAACTTCTGAC